TAATACAAACATATATATATATATATATATATATATATCATTTAAAGGTGCTTGTTATGCAGAACAGTGGTTAGCAAAAAAAATTAAAAATAATAATAAAAGATAATAAAAAAGGAGAGTTATGGTAAAAAACAGTGCTAAAACTTCAAAACTGCTAAAAGGAAAATATCTATATTGAATATAAATATTCAAATTTCCTCTGGGATATACTCATAGGTTGACATAATAAAGAGTGAATAAATAAGTAAAAAACTTATAAAAAACCTGTAAAAAATTAAGGGTCCAGAATTGTGTTCGTTATATGTTCACAAAAGTGGCACAACTCAAAGTCTAAATTAAGACCATATGGGATGAGGGTGTTAAAATTGAAAATATACCAAATTTTTTCCTTCCCTAATCTATTAATAAAATTGCCACCTCTCCAATCTTTCTTTGCTACTTTTAAGGCGCAGACGAATAACTCTGTGGGATCTTGATTATGCATTATTTTAAAGTGCTAGGATACGCTATGGGTTTCAAAACCTTTCTTTATGTTGCATATGTGTTCACTTATTCGAACATTTAAGGGTCGAATTGTCCTACCTATATATAGTAAGTTGCATGGGCATTTCAAGATATATATTACGCCTTTGGAGTGACACATAATATGATCTTTGATGGTATGTTGTTTGCCTATAATTTGGCTTATGTCGGTAAGGTGTCTTTTATGACTCTTAGTTGTCCTACATGGGAGGCAATTACCACATCCATAGAAGCCTGAGAGCTTTTTTGTAAGCTCATTAGATTTGTCAGTTTTCAGGAAGCTTTTTACTAACATATTTTTTTTAAATTTTTGTTTCCCTATGGATGATCTTTGAGTTTTGGGGTATGATTTTATTAAGTACTGGGTCATCCCTCAGGATGTGCCAATGCTTTTTTTATGGCTTGTTGTACACTCCTGGAGCTCCCAATATATCCACAAATAAAGGGAATATTATTACTTCTTTGTGTTTCATTTTTTGGTTTATATGGTAGGGCCTGTACCTCCTCTAGATTTTTTCTGAGATTTTCTTCTTCATACCCCCTCCCTGTAAACTGGTGTTTCAAATAATCTACTTTATCATAGACTTTGCAGTACTTACTGCTTTTATTTTATGTGATTTTGTTTCATAATAAATACTTTTTTATTGCAAACTCATGTCCTGTGACATCATTTGGTGGACGATTTTCACAAGCATCTATACACCACCCAGCCAGGGAGTGGGATCCCTTCAAATATTCCCACCAGACTCCACTTTGAGCCTAATACTGGGGTTCTGTACTTGTGAGTACAATACTTACAGATTACTGTGTATATGTATACAAATAAACCAGACTGTATTGCACTAGGTTTTGTTATTGCTTTATTTGTTACAGTTATCTTTGATATCTCCAGCCAAGACTCATTCACACTCCACCTATCCTTTATGTATGTATAAACCCCAGCTGCAATGACAAATGGGATCCATGGTGTAGTTTTTGGAATCTCTTGGTTTCATTGTGACTCATTACAAATCCATTCTCGCCCCTTCCGCGTTGGTAAAGTTTCCTGGTTTTTAAATTGACTTGACCTCTTGCGTGGTGTCTGTAATAACTTTAAAAGCTGCTTCTTTCGGAAATCCTGACTATCACCTTGCCAGGATAGTGGACCTGGCATCCATCCAAGTGATATAACAGGGTTCACTGCATTACCAGACGAGGAAAGCCCTATCTACCAAGCATATTATTTTCAAGCAGAATTGTAGTTATTGATCAGAATTCATCGATATGTGTACAAATTTAGATTTTGTTTTGTCATTTTGTTTTTGTGTTCTGGTACCTGTTTAATAATAGCTATTTTATCAAATTAGCACTGTACAACCAAATAGAAAAGGATAAGTGGCAGCAAACTCCCAAAAATCAGGCTCCCTCAAAGCTCCAACAGAAATAGAATAATACAGCAAAACAGGAAAAGGTTGCGCCAATTATGAACAAATGCGTTTAGAATGTTAAAACACTAAAACAAATAGAACAAGTAGCAAATATAAAAGTTCAAAGTTAGTGTGTAAAATTGCAAAAGTAGCAGCCAAATCCCATAGAGGAGTCTTCTTGTCCTTTTCTATAGGGATACCAGATCCAAAGTTTTTTTGGGAACCAAATAGATATACAAAAAACAAAGATGAAAGCCAATAGTGCAATATGTTCCAATATTATGTGGTACTTTTAAAGTGCAAGTCTTATATGGTCCTCCTCACACTTTATAGAACTAAGACCAGCTTTTGCATGATGTATTTTATAAGCCTGCCTTGTTAACTGTGAAATCGCACTCTAAATTGCTGCTCTTTGATTAACTGCTCTTTTGATTAAAATTTTGTAATCAAAAAGTCCAAATAAAAGTGTGACCTAGAGTGTTGTTCTTCTCCTTTGCAGTGTCAGGACTCTTCCCGCAGACACCCTCAACATCACAGAAATAGATGCTGTAGCCAAAACCACAATGTAATAAAGTTATTTCATATCTGTCTCCATTTTTGGCAAAGACATCAAACCCCCTAGTTATTTTACAAATAGTACATTTCAATGTCAATCAGATAGAATGCTTTGTTGCTAATGTAGTACCTGGAAATGACACACATATGGTTAACATACACATAAAGTAGGAAATCCACTAAAAGGGCAGATGGAGCTTTCAACAATCCAGTCTGACCAAGTTTATAATAAGTTTATAAACATCTATTACATACAAAGTTTTTCTTCTTGCTTTATTCTGGTTTAAAAGTGTTTGTTGGTTTACAAAAAATGTCCCTTTAAGGAGTTAAATTATTTAAGAACAATTCAATCTCAAAGTTATGAAGATGGTACTCGTCCACTCTGCCATCTAGTTTCTGGTGATATCTGAGACTTTATTGAGGATGCATTGGACTGGGTATTGTTGATAGGCTGAGAGCATCAGCTGGCACTCTAAGCCTATCACTAGCTCCCCATTCACAAAACTGTGTAAGAAAGGTGCATACAGCCTGCGTGATTCTGAATAAAACATTGATTTATATCCATATTTTGGAATCTCAGTTACTGACACAAGGTAACAAACACAACAGTAAATGTTATACTTGTAATCACACAGGAAACACAGCAGCTGGTGCCACCCGGGTGGGGGGTGCCATGACCAG